TGGAAACCACCCAGTCCAAAGCCTTTCTGGAATCTTCAACATGAGTTCTAGCAACGCTGAGTTGCCCGATAGAGCACTGTTTGCATTAGGACTTTCCTTGACAGCCAAAATCAGAATACTACCCTAGAGAGGTTTAAACTGATAGGGATTATTCATCTCCTACAATAAGGCTTAGGCAGCCCAGAGCTGGGAGGGTGGTGTGGTCAAGCTCTAAAGGACTCAGGACAGCTCCAGGCTTCTATTCTGCCATCCTGAGTTTTCCTCTTTACAGCTTTTGCCTCATGGCCACAAGATGACTGCTGCCTTTCCAGACATTGGTTCTGCATCATAGGCAGAACAAATAAGGGGTGGGGGGAAGCAAAAAATTCTATACCTATGGAAAAAAGCAAAAACTTTCCCAGAAATCCTCAGCTTACTACTCACTGGCCAAAATTATGTCACATGGTTACCTCTAGCTGCAAGTAACCAGTTTGCAGTGAAACATGTTGACAAGTTGACTTACAAACAAAACATGGGTAAGTTAGTAAAAAGGAAGAATTGTTTGTTTGGAGACAGTCTCACTCTGTTACCCAGGCTGGAGTACAGTGGCACAATCTCAGCTCACTACAACCTCCACCTCCCAGGCTCAAGTAGTTTTCCTGTCTCAGCCTCCCAAGTAGCTGGGACTAGAGGCATGCAGCAGCACGCTGAGCTAATTTTTGTATTTTTAGCAGAAATGGGGTTTCACCATGTTGGCCAGGCTGGTCTCAAACTCCTGGCCTCAAGTGATCTGCCCACCTCAGCCTCCCAAAGTGCTGGGATTACAGGCATGAGCCACTATGCTCGGCCAAGAAGAATAACTTAATATAGAGTAAACCAGAGGTCTGCAATACAACCAGTGAACCAAATCTGGCCCACTACTTATTTTTTAAATTATTGATATATCATAATTGTCCTTCCGGATACATGTGATATTTTGATACATGTATATAACGTGTAATGATTAAATCAGAGTAATTGGGATAGCCATTACCTCGAACATTACCTATCTTTTGTGTTAGGAGCATTACAATTCTTCTTTTCTAGCTATTTTGAAATATACAATAAATTCTTGTTAAGTATAATTCCTCTGCTGTACTATTTAATACCAGAACTTAGTCCCTCTATCTAACTGTATTTTTGTACCCATTAACCAACTTCTCTTCATCTCTCCTTTTTATAAATAAAGTTTTATTGAAATGCAGCTGCACCCATTACAACACCTTAATAGCAGTGTTGAGTAGCTTCGACAGATACTATATGGCCCACAGAGTCCAGTACATTTACTCTCTGGCCTTTTACAGAAAACGTTGCCAACTCCTAAAATAGATGATTGGTAATATCTGCCACAAGTACTAGCAAAGGAAGATATACTTTTTTTTCTGGAAATAACTTACTCTTTTCAAAAGAGCATTCCAGTAATAACGAGAAAAAAAAAAGATTTGTGCTCTGCTTACATGTACTTTGTAGTTTTATATTAATTTTTATTTTGAATTATATGTGGGATGAATGAGAAGCCTCACAAACTTTTCAGGGATTAGGGTTAATAAAGTTCTTAAATTGGCCCTGATTTCCAGGTATTCCTACCCACAGTCTGACTTCCATTCATTCCACAAAGAGGCACTAGGCACCTACTGTGGCAGGCATTGTGCTAGATCCTGGATAAGGACAGAATGAACGGATGGATGGATGGGTGGATGGATGGATGGATGGATGGATGATTGATAGATGAATGGATGGATGGATGGATGACTGATGGACGGATGAATGGATAGATGGATGGATGATTGATGGATGGATGAATGAATGGATGGATGGATGATGGATGGATGGATGGATGGATGATGGATGGATGAATGGATGGATGGACGGTGGATGGATGGATGGATGGATGGATGGATGAATGGATGGATAGATGGATGGATGATGGATGGATGAATGGATGGATGGATGGATGATTGATGGATGATGAATGGATGGATGGATGGATGATGAATGGATGAATGGATGGATGGATGGATAACTGATGGATGGATGAATGGCTGGATGGATGGATGGACAATGGATGGATGAATGAATGTATGGATGGTGGATGGATGGACGGGAAACTGCAAGAGAGAAAGCAAAAAAGAGAGAGACAGGAACGGAGAGATTAGACTAAACAATTTCATGCCTTCTGAATTGTGCCTAGAAAATATGTGTGTGAGGAGGAAATTACATTCCAGTAGGCATGTGGGTAAAGGCCTTGCTGCTGTAGCAAAGAGACCCCTTTAGAACTATGTAGGTATTCAGGAACCTAAGTTGATTTCCCACAGACCACACTGGCAGGTGGCTCTGCTCCACAGAATCAGAGACCTCGGCACTTTCCATCACATTCCTTCACAACCCCTAAGACACTGTCCTTGTCCTCATGGTCAAGACTGAGTTATAGATTCATTTGGTTTCCAGGTTATGGGAAGAAGAAGAAAAAGCATGCAGAAACACACTCCTAAAGTTTTTTAAGACCCTGACCTAGAAAGTAGCATATCTCACCTGTTGCTACAGACTGAAGGTGTCCCTCCAAAATTCATGCACTCAAATGAACCCTTAGGTCTCAACGTGATGGTATTTGAGGATGGGTCTTTGAAAGGTAATTATTTCATGAGACTGGAGCCCTCATGGTAGAATTAGTGCTCCTATAAGACAAGACATGAATCCAACCCCCATTCCACCCCCATCTATCTGCCAGGTGAAGATGTAAGGAGAAAGCAGCCTTCTGCAAACAGGAGATCGCTCCTCACCAGACACCAGATCTACCTGGGCCTTGATCTTGGACCTCCCAAACTCCAGACTGTGAGAAATACATACTTGCTGTTTAAGTCATCCAACCTATGGTATTTTTGTTATAGCAGGCTGAACTCACCAAGACACCTCCCTCAACCATCCACTAAGTCACATGGTTCATCTACTTAGAAGGAAGGCTGGGAAATGTAGTCTTTGATGGGGCAACCATGAGACTAGCTACAATCCAATTATTTTGGATGAATGGGGGAGTGAATTTTGGTAGACAACTAGGAATGTCTATCACATAGGGTAGGTTCATGAGTCCTTGTTGAACTCAGAGGGTGAGACAATGTCTTGAGAACTCAGAAGTTCTCAAGCCATACAGGTATAGATCCACTGACCCCTGTACCCGGGAAGTTAGTTCTGTTCACTGCGACTGGCAGAAATAATTTCCTGCTGACATTATTAGTGGCTCCCAGCCAAGGCAAGAAAATGAGGCTACACCCATAAAGGTACTATTACAACCCTTCAGCGGCCATGTTGATGATCTTATGCTCCTCATCACACCAAATTAACACTCTGAGTAATCACTCTTGTCAAGATCTAAAACTTCACCCTTTGTGGATGGTTTAAACAACTGATATTTCTTAAAGAAATTCAAAAGCAAACTGTTTATGCAAGGTACACAATTTCTGGGGTCCTCAGACCCCCTAAGAAATATCCCACCACTCCTTTCCCTTGTAAGGGATAAAAAGGATTAGAATCCGGGAAACTTGCTGTACTGGCCTGTTACAACCTTAATCCAAGGGAGTGACACTAACGACAGGATTTCAGTTATGATGGAAGATGAGAAATTGGAGACGGGTGTACTTTGGCCTCCATAGAGAGCACCGACTGCTCCTGAGCCTATAAACAAGATATATCTCTCCCTCCAGCTCAAGGAAGCAGTAGTCATCAGACAAATTAATTCCTGCTAATGTGCCACAGAGAAGGCCCTTCCAGGTCACCAGGACCTCTCAGAGACAAGTTTGCCCTCTCTGTCATTAACTTATTTGTCATGGTGAACTCTCAGGCATGAGAGGAGAGACTGGAACAGGCACACATCACTCTTAATAAACCAAAACCCACACCTTCAAAGGAAAATCCCAGAGGTGGACGCTCCAGGTGGGGTTCAGCTCAATCCTTTTTAAGCCTTTCCTTCCCCACAGGGCTCTTTTGGTTCCAAAAGTGACAAGGTAACCAGACTGTGTCCTCCAGGTGGAGAACAGCCCCATAACTGGGAAGTGGGGTGTCAACCCTTGAGGAGGAATGGGGAGCACTAGTACCCGGAGCTGGTGGAATAGGGTAGGGTGTGGGGCAGGCTCGCTCTGGAGCTGCTGTTTATTTCACTGCCCTTCATTTCCCTACAGCCCACCCAGGGATGTATTCAGCTCCACTGAAGGTTGGTGCAGTTAGAATCGGAGAGTTTAAATGTACTATATAGGTTTTACCTTTTTATTCTGAAAATTTGCAAATGTACACAAAGTAAAGAAACTTTTTTTAATTTTTAAAAAATTTTTTAAACCATCAAGGACTAAAAAAAGTAAGGAAACTCTTATAACGGATCCTCGTGTGTCTATGCCCAGCTTCAACTATCAACATGGCTTACCTTGTTTAATCTATCGACCTTTTTAAAAAATCTTTCTGAGGTCGGGCGTGGTGACTCATGCTTGTAATCCCAACATTTTAGGGAGCCGAGGCCGGCGTATCACCTGAGGTCAGCAGTTGGAGAACACCCTGGCCAACACAGCGAAACCCCGTCTCTACTAAAACCACAAAAATTAACCGGGCATGGTGGTGGAAGCCTGTAATTCCAGCTATTCTGGAGGCCGAGGCAGGAGAATCACTTGAACCCGGGAGGCGGAGGTTGCAGTGAGCTGAGATCGCATCACTGCACTCCAGCCTGGGCAACAGAGTGAGACTCCGTCTCAAAAAGAATAAATACATAAAAATTAAAAATAAAAAAAAAATTGGTATTTTAAAACAAACCCCAGACATGACATCATCTTACGCATTAATTAAATGACACTAATTAAATGGTGCTTGCAATATTACAAACATGATGTTCGACCATACCACCTAGAGTTCTGGGCAAGAAGCCTGGGGCCCACAGGTCAAGCCCAGCCCCTTAGTTTTACCATGAAAAGAACTCAGGCCACAGGAGGAAGTGGCCTGCCCAACGCAGGTGCTAGAGCGCGAACCTGAGAAGTCGGTTCTCCGGGTCCCCTGGGCTGCCTGGTGAGTGGCGGACCCGGGGCGACTTCCCAGGCCCCCGCCGTGGAAGGGGCGAAGGACACTCCCCTCGCTGCCCGCTGCAAGAATCCGGGCGGTTCCCGCACGCACTTCTGGAAAGGCAAGCCAGGGAGCGCGGCGGGCCGGGAATACAGCCAGGTCCCGGGACCTGCCGGCTGCGGTAACTGAAGGGGGGATCCCGGACGGGCGGGGGTACCAGGGACAGGAGTAGCCTTGGAAAGAGGAGGGGACCTCCTCCCACGACCGAGGTGATCGCCGCCTCTCCGCCGCACCCCCGGGCCCTATGCCGTGAGCAGGCCGGCGAGGCTGGCACGGCGCCCGGGCCCGGGGCGGAAAGCAGGAAGTCGACCCCGCGGGCGCGGCCCAGGGTGCGGCGCTGCAGGTGCGGCGCGGGGTGGCGGGGCGGGCGCCCAGTGCACCGGAGGAGGTGAGCGCCAGGTCGCCTTCGCGGCCCGGGGACGCAGGCCGGGGCGCCGGAGCTGACGGCTGGACCCGGCGAGGGAACAGTATTTTCTGGAAAGGGTAAGAGATGCTGCCTTGAGCCTTTGGAAGCTTGGATCCGGGCCGCCCGGAGGGTCTTGATAGGGGCACAGGGAAGACAGTCCGGGAGCGGCGACGTGGCCTCCGGCCTCTGGGAGCGCTGCGGAGGTCTCGGACTCGGGAGGGGGCCTGGGGGCGGTGAAAATAGGGGAAAGGAGGGACCCCAACATTGCTGTGGAAGAGAGAGTTCGGGCTGGCAGAGGGACGCGGGGCTGCAACGCGGGTCTCCAGAGGCGACGGGGTCCAGGCTGGTGGAGCGCGGCCCGGGTCCTGGATCCGGGTTCCGGGACGTGGACCTGCGAGCCGAGCCGGCCCGAGCCGAGCCGAGTTGGGGGACCGAGGCTCCGGGGCAGGCCGAGCTGAGGGTGGGAGGGCGAGGGTGATGGACCCCTTCCAGGAAGCGGGACGAGGCTCTAGCGCCCAGAAAAACCTTCGGTGGATGCCGAGGTTCTCCCCGCCGGCAGCAGGCAGGCGGAGGGCAGGGACGGGGATGGCGACTGGTGCGCGCCGCCTCGCCGGGGCTGTAGCTTTAAGGGCGGCGCGGGGCGTGCGGGACCTTTAAGGCCGGGCCGGGGGCGTGTCAGGAAGTGAGTCCTGGGCCCGCCTCTTGGGGAGGCGGCCTCGTCTGTCCGGAGGCTCCCCGGCTGAGCCGGAGACGGCGGCGCGACGTGGGCGCCGGCCCAGCCCCCTCCCGGGTCCTGCAGCCCCTCTGACCCCTCCCCAGCTCTCCCCGCAGCCGCGCCCGGCCTCCGGCTGCCCACTGCACGCCTCCCTCTCCCTGCCCGCCTCTCCCTTCCGCAGCAGCCCATGCCGCCCTCTCTCCGCACCTCTTCACTCTCGGCCCCGCGCCCTTTTCCTGCACCTTCGCCCCGCGTTCCTCCTCCTGCCGCGTCCTGCCATTCCCCTCTCCTCCCTTCTCTCTGCGACTCCTTCCTGTTAGGCCCCAGCCTCCTCTCCCCTCACAGGTCTTGGCCTCACCATCTTAGCCTATCCCTCCCCCTTGCCCTGTGTCTTGTCTCAGGAGCCTCCTCGGGGTGGGAGCAGGTTGCGGGGCGGCACAGCTGGGCTCACCCCAAAGCAGACGCTCTCTATGCATGAGGATGCTGGGGAGACCTCTAGGCCAGCCCCCATGTGACAATTGAGGACTGCAGCTTGCAGAGAACACAAGTCAGCTCACTGCCCTGGACTCCAGGGAATCAGCGTTCTGGCTGCGGGGTGACCCAACTCCTCTGCTACCATGAACAGGGCCCCTCTGAAGCGGTCCAGGATCCTGCACATGGCGCTGACCGGGGCCTCAGACCCCTCTGGAGAGGCAGAGGCCAGCGGGGAGAAGCCCTTTTTGCTGCGGGCATTGCAGATCGCGCTGGTGGTCTCCCTCTACTGGGTCACCTCCATCTCCATGGTGTTCCTTAATAAGTACTTGCTGGACAGCCCTTCCCTGCGGCTGGACACCCCCATCTTCGTCACCTTCTACCAGTGCCTGGTGACCATGCTGCTGTGCAAGGGCCTCAGCACACTGGCCACCTGCTGCCCTGGTGCCGTGGACTTCCCCAGCCTGCGCCTGGACCTCAGGGTGGCCCGCAGCGTCCTGCCCCTCTCGGTGGTCTTCATCGGCATGATCACCTTCAATAACCTCTGCCTCAAGTACGTCGGTGTGGCCTTCTACAATGTGGGCCGCTCGCTCACCACCGTCTTCAACGTGCTGCTCTCCTACCTGTTGCTCAAGCAGACCACCTCCTTCTATGCCCTGCTCACCTGTGGCATCATCATCGGTGAGTGGCAGCTGGGGTCGCGGGGAATAGGGTGGTCATGGGGACTAAAACCCTGAAGAACAACCCTTCTAGGCATCCTAGGACTTCATCTGTCCCAGTTTCATTGGTGCAGCAGTCATAGGAGAAAGAGCCTCGGGGCACAGAGAGAGCAAGTAACTTACTAAAGGTCACCCAGTAAGTTAGGAGCCCAGCCAGGGCAAGAGCAATAATAATAATAACAGCAACAACAGCAGCAAAAACAACTGACATTTGTTGAGTGATTAAAATGTGCCATGCACATAGATTTTAGCCGTATTAACTCACCTAATCCTTGCAACAAGGTGGGATTATAATTCACGTTTTACAGAGGGAAAAACCAAGGCACAGAGAGGCTAAGTAACTTGTCCGAAATAATCCAGCTAGTAAGTAGCAGAGCTGGGATCTGAACTCAAGCAATCCGGCTTCACACTTCACGTGCCCAACCACTGCACTGTATTGTTTCTCAAGAGCTCATGTGTCCTGATTTCCCATCCAGTGCTCTTAGCAGAAGGCAATATATCTTTTAATAAACATACCATCACTCTCTGCCAGCTCAGGATGGCACCTGAGACAGTAGCAAGCAATATGCCTTGAGAGGCCTCTGCTGTCTTCCCGGACTTGACCCTTAAAAAATAATTATTATTGATGGAGAAAGGGTGCTAATTATTTCACATATAACATCTCCTTTGTTCTCCCAAAGGTCTCCTGGGCTGTGGCATCACTACCAGTGGTCATCTCCATACACACAGGGAAACAGAAGTTCAGAGAGGTCATGTTACTTGCCCAGGGCCACACAGCTAGCAGGTAGCTAGGCTGGGATGCAAACCCAGATTGGCCAGACTCCCAGGTCTGTACTTCTACCCACTCTGCTCTTCTTGGAGGTTAGAGCTTCGGTATACAACACAGGAGCCATTGGCCACTTACTTAAATTAATTAAAATTCAGCAAAATGTTAAACATTCATTTCCTCATTTGCAGATGTTACAACCTGATTCTCTAGCCACATTTCAAGGGCTCGTGTGCTGAGGGCTACGTTATTGGACAGTACATGAGTATAGAACATATCCATCACTGCGTATTTTACTGGGCCCCATACTGGGTTAGAGAGTCTCCAGCATCCCATTCCCTCTGAGTCTTCCCAGGGCTGTGTCATCTAGGAATGGACTCTTCATTTGAACCTGTACAGGTCTTTCCTGGTGCTATAAAGTTTCTTATTTGGCCTACATATCATATTCTTTGCTGGTGGCTCAGAGTCCCAGGCTAGATGCACCGGTTGGTGGGGGAAGGGACCCATCCCCAGGCCACCTGTCCTAGAAAATGTTTCTTCTTGTTGAGCACCTGCTGGATCTAGGGCTGCTGGGTCTAGTATTCTAGGCCTCCCCTCCCCTAGAGCCATGGTGAGTGAGTTGAATTTCTCCCGAAGGCAGCCTCCGCACATCACGTAGTACCTTTCAAAGCTTCTGGGCCAGACGCTGTGGCTCACGCCGGTAATCCCAACACCCTTGGAGGATGAGGCAGATGGATCACCTGAGGTCAGGAGTCCGAGACCAGCCTAGCCAACATGGTGAAACCCCTGTCTCTACTAAAAATACAAAAAATTAGCTGGGCGTGGTGGCACTGTGCCTGTAATCCTCGATACTCAGGAGGCTGAGGCAGGAGAATTGCTTGAACCCAGGAGACAGAGGTTGCATTGAGCCAAGATTGGGCCACTGCACTCCAGCCTGGTGATAAGAGTGAGACTCAGTCTCAAAAAAAAAAAAAAAGTTCCCTCTGGCCGAGAGTCACTCTGGAATCTAGAACATTGAGGTTGCAGTTGCTTCTAGACTCCGAAGGTAACCAGCAGGAGGGCTGGGGCTGCTCTAGCCAAGCAGATGAGTGGGTGATACAGCCCTCTGCCCTCTTCATCCCACACCCCAGTAGGTCTGTGGGTACCCCTTGTGCAAAGGTTCTGCCAAGAAAGAGGAGGGCTGGGCTCAGTAGTTGGGCTGGGCATGGTGGCTCACACATATAATCCCAGAACTTGGGGAGGCTGAGGCAGGTGTATCACCTGAAGTCAGGAGTTTGAGACCAGCCTGCCCAACATGGAGAAGCCCTGACTCTACTAAAAATACAAAAATTAGCCAGGCATGGTGGTGGACACCTGTAATCCCAGCTACTTGGGAGGCTGAGGCACGAGAATCACTTGAACTCAGAAGGTGGAGGCTATAGTGAACCAAGATCGCACCACTGTACTCCAGCCTGGGTGACAGAGCAAGACTCTGTCTCAAAAACACGAAGAAAAAAGAGAGGAGTGCTGCATGTTGAGTACCTATGATATCGGAGGTATCCTGCCTCCTTTAATACTCACAACCACCTTCATAACAACTTTCATTCATTCATTCATTCCGCAACTAGTAATTAGTGGCTAAACACATGCCAGGCACCGCGCCAGGCTTTGGGGATACAAGATTGGAAAAGGTAACTTCAGCTCCTACACTCCTGGAGGGCGTGGTTGTGACAGATACACTAGTATGGTAAGGGCTGGGATGGGGCATCAAAGGTACTGTGGGAGCTCTGAGGGAGGGAGGGGACACAGGGACAGGGGAGTCTAAGCAGGCCTTCTGGAGGAAGTTTAGAAACTGGGTTTAGAGGAAGAAGTACAGACAGAAGGAAGAGCACGTGCATGCTGGGCCACAGCAAGACTCGCCAGACATGAGGCTGCCCAGTCAGGTGAACGCCACGTGTTGCAGACCCAGAGAGCCGCGGTGAGTGAGTCGAACTTCTCCCGAAGGCAGCGGAGGGTCACAGAGAGGATTCAGACCAAGGCACAGCCTGGGCAGATCCGGACTTCAGAACGATCATTGTAGCTGCAAGTCGGAGAGTAGATTGGCTGGAGTGGAGGACAGGGAGATGACCCAGATCTTTACAGATGAAGAAAACTAGAGCTCAGAGACGTTAAGTAACTTCTCCCAGACCAGTCAGCTTCTAAGTTGCAGAGGATGATTGAAGGCCAAATCTCTCTGACCCCAAAGCTTTCCCCACTACCCCGTGTTGCCGGATGCTGTGGCAGGAAGTATAATAGGCACCATTCAGCCCCTGTCTTCTGGGAGCATGGGATCTGGCTGAAAAGACCAGACTGTCACCATAGGCAGGGGCCTAGCAGCCCAGAGCAGGCAAGGGGCTTTGAAGGAAAGTGAGGCAGTAAGAGGCCAGGTTCTGGAGCTATCAGGAAAGGATTCCCCTAGAGAGGCCAGCTTTGACCTTGACAGATGAGTAGAATCTCCCAGAAAGAAGGAGGGTGTTTCTGGCAAAGGACATGAGCAAGGACACTGAGGCCCAGAGTAAGAAGGAGGGAGACAAGCAGGAAGGCTGGGGCAACCACAGGTCAGAGGAAGGGCTGGCAAGTTTGCATGCCGAGGAGTATAGACCCAATGGCAGAAGTGGGAGCCATAGAAGCTCTTTGAGCAGCAGGAGGTGACACAAGAAGAGTCCCAGAATCACTGCCCCAGATGACACAAGTGATTCTAACTTAATGCTTCCCGTGATGACATCATAGGCTCCCATTCTATACAAACTTAGACACTGGAAATCATTTACTGGGGGTCACCTTAAATCACTAAGTGGCACTCATCCTTCAGAACTTAGTTCAGATGTTATTTTCAGATGCCCCAGGTCAGCACAGTCACCCACTTACGGGTTCTCACAGCACCCTGTACTACTTTATGGAACTCATGACAACTCTTACAATTGTAATTAAAGAAGTAACTGGGAAGTGATTTGTTTTAATGTCCTTCTCCTCTGCTAGCAGCTATCCTGGGGGAGGTTTTCTTGCCCTGGGCCACTCCACTCCCAGACTCCTTGCAGCATGCTTTGCCTGCAGTGCAGAGTTTATCGGAGGGAGGCCTGGGGAGGCATGGGGAGGGCAGCAGGACTCAGTCTGTGACCTTTGGTGTCAGATCCTCTGTCCTTCTTCCTCCTCATCCTCTCCCTCTTTCCCGCCCTTCCCCCATTCCTCCTCTCCCCACTGCAGGGGGCTTCTGGCTTGGTGTGGACCAGGAGGAGGCAGAGGGCACCCTGTCGTGGCTGGGCACTGTCTTTGGTGTGCTGGCCAGCCTCTGCGTCTCGCTGAACGCCATCTACACCAAGAAGGTGCTCCCGGCGGTGGACGGCAGCATCTGGCGCCTGACCTTCTACAACAACGCCAACGCCTGCATCCTCTTCCTGCCTCTGCTCCTGCTGCTCGGGGAGCTACAGGCCCTGCGTGACTTTGCCCAGCTGGGCAGTGCCCACTTCTGGGGGATGATGACACTGGGCGGCCTGTTTGGCTTCGCCATCGGCTATGTGACAGGACTGCAGATCAAGTTCACCAGTCCCCTGACCCACAACGTGTCGGGCACGGCCAAGGCCTGTGCCCAGACAGTGCTGGCCGTGCTCTACTACGAGGAGACCAAGAGCTTCCTCTGGTGGACGAGCAACATGATGGTGCTGGGCGGCTCCTCCGCCTACACCTGGGTCAGGGGCTGGGAGATGAAGAAGACTCCAGAGGAGCCCAGCCCCAAAGAGGGCGAGAAGAGCGCCATGGGGGTGTGAGCTCCGCAGGCACCCTGGATGGCCCAGCCCCAGGCCCGTACGCAGGCAGAGCCAGCACAGCCGCGAAGGCGGTCTCCCAGACCCTAGGTGCTGTGGTGTGGACTGGGTGCTACTTACAGACCCAATTCAGAATACGGTGGTTGAGAAGGAACCAGCGTTTACAAATAATATCAGAAAGTTGCCAAACCCATCTCTACCCTCTCCTATTTCTGAGCTTTTGTTCTTCCCAAGGGAGCAGCTACTGAGAGATGAACCCCTTCACACCACCTCCAGGGCCTGTCTCCCCCACATCACGCTGAGGACGGGGAGGGGCAATGACCTTGAAGGGCCAGCAAGGGCAGTGTACTCAAGGGAGAGGGGGTGTGGCCCCGCCACAGCCACCTGGACAGGGTTGGGAAACCTTCCATCTGCAGTGGGCAGGCAGCCTCGCTCTGGGCCCACAAAGCAGCCTTCCTTTGGAGGAAAGTGTGGGCTGGACGGAAGGAGGAAATGAGCGAGTTCCCTCTGAGACCAGTGGATCACCAGCAGCTGCTGGGCAGTGGCCTGGAACGGGGTGGATCATGAGAGAGTGCCCATCTGCACCCTGTATGTCCAGCTTTTGAGCACGAGGGAACCACGATTCTCTTAAGAGATTACGCAGGGTCATTTAGCATCCTCCCCCAGTCCCTGACACCACATTTACCTGCGTGGCTCCCCTGGCCCTGAGTGGCACCTGGCCCCCTGGTCTCCCAGCAGCTGGCTCAGGTAATAGCCTTCTGAAAGCAGAGCCAGGGGTCCGCTTCTCTTTTCTCCTAGTTCTGCCTGCCCCAAAGCCTTCCTCCCCAGGTGAGGCTGATGAAGCAAGGGTCCAGATTAAGAGCCTTGCACCCCAGCTGTGCCAGGCACCCCCACATTTCTGCAGGGGAGGTGTCATAGCCTGGTTCTGAGCCGCTTGCCTCGTGAAGGTAAGAGGCTAACCTTTACGTTCGTGCTGACAGAGCCTGCCTGGCCCCACTCGTAGTCCAGCGGGCTCCTATAACAAAATGGCATAAGTCAGTCGGGTGGGCTTCTGAACAACAGAATCGTATTGCTCACGGTTCTGGGGGCTAGGGACGTCCACAATCAAGGGGCCAGCAGATTGGGAGTCTGCGGAGGGCTATTTCCGGATCCATAGATGGTACCTTCTTGCTGTATCCTCACATGGTAGAAGGAAAAATAAGCAAGCTCCCTCCTGCCTCTTTAAAAGGACACAAATCCCATTCATGAGGGCTCCACCCCTGTGACCCAGTCAGCTCCAAAGGCTCCACCTCCTAATGCCATCGCCTTGTGGGTGAGGATTCCAATGTGAATTTGCCGGTTGTTGGGGGGTGGGGGACCACAAATGTTGGGACCACAGCACCCTTCACCACACCCTCCTACCCTCAGGGTGGCTTTCACTTCCCCACCCTTCTGGTGGGCATTTTGTACGTCCTTTCTGTTGGGGTGATTTCTGATGTTTTTAGGTCCTGTAGTGAAAAGCTGGGGAGAGTCTTCTCCCCACTCCGGTCCCCGCACAATCCCAGGTGGATTCTAATGCAGCTGCTGGGGCCTGATGCCCTGCATTGTTTTTGATTCAATAAAGAATCCCTGAGCTCCTGTGTGTGTGGCCTGAGGGAAGAGGCAGCAGGGCTGGAGAGGGTTTGTGAACAGGGTCCTGGGGTGGAGGGGAGCCATGGATCTGTCAGGAAGGAGGGCTCATCCCAGCCCTCACCAAGCCCACCCACCAGCAGGCAGCCTTTCTAGGAGCTGTTCTCTCTTAGGATACCAGGCTCTTTCCTGGGAAATAGGTGACGGGACTTCCAGTTTCCTATTAGTCGTCATTGCCATTTACTGGGTGCTTGTTGGGGGCCTTAGGCTGTGCTGAGTGTTGTACATCCACCCTTGTAAAGTTCATCTTCACAACTCCTCTGAGGTGGGAGCCATCAGCGATCCCCCCTCTTGTACAGATGAGGGCCCTGAGGCTCAGAGAGGGGCCCAGGAAGGAAGATGCAGGAGGAGGATTCAGGGGTCTGTGCCTTCAGACCTGGGCACTTAACCACCCCAGCATTCCTGCAGTGCGTAATCTCGGCTCGCTGCAACCTCTGACTCCCAGGTTCAAGCAGTTCTCTTGCCTCATGCTCCCAAGTAGCTGGATTCAAGACACACGCCACCACACTCAGCTAATTTTTAGTATTTTTAGTAGAGACGGGTTTTCACCATGTTGGCCAGGCTGCTCTTGAACTTCTGACCTCAGGTGGTACACCTGCCTTGGCCTCCCGAAGTGCTGGGATTACAGGTGTGAGCCACCGTGCCCAGCCTACCCAGCACTTTTCTGAGCACCTGTTATGTGTCAGGCACTGTGGTAGGTTGTTGTCTTAGTCCACTTAGTGCTGCTATAAAGGAATATCAGAGGCTGGGTAATTTATAAATTCAAAAAGAGTTATTGGCCAGGCGTGGTGGCTCATGCCTGTAATCCCAGCACTTTGGGAGGCCGGGGTCCGGAGTTCAAGACCAGCATGGCCAACGTAGTGAAACCCCATCTCTACAAAAAAATACAAAAATCAGCCAGGTATGGTGGCACATGTCTGTAGTCCCAGCTACTCGGGAGACTGAGGCAGTAGAATTGCTCGAACCTGGGAGGCAAAGGTTGCAGTGAGGTAAGATCATGCCATTGCACTCCAGCCTAGGTGACAGAGTGAGACTCTGTCTCAAAACAAAACAAAAAGGCTTATTTGGCTGATGATTCTGATGTCTGGAGAAGTTCAAGGTTGCGCATCTGCATCTGGTGAGGGCCTCAAGCTGCTTCCACTCTGGGAGAGCCGGCTGTGCACGGATCACGTAATGAGGGGGGAAGCAAGACAGAGGAGAGGGGAGATGCCCTGGCTCTTTTTTTTTTTTTTTTTAAGGCAGGGTCTCACTTTGTCGCCCAGGCTGGAGTGCAGGACTGCAGTGGTACAATCAGCAATCCTCTCACCTCAGCCTCCAAGTAGCCGGAACTACAGACATGTACACTCTGCCCTGGGTGGAGATTTTTGGTTTTATTTTTGGTAAAGACAGGGTCTCTCTATGTTGCCCAGGCTGGTTTTGAACTCCTGGTCTCCAGCAATCCTGCTACCTCAGCCTCCCAAAGTTCTGAGATTTCAAGTGTGAGCTACCATGCTGGCGGCCAGGCTCATTTTAACAGCTGGTTCTCATGAGACTAATAGAGCAAGAACTCACCACCCATTCAAGGAGGGTATTATATAATCTTACTAATAATCTATATAAGCAATATTAACAAGTAATTATTAATCTATATTGATAATATAGATTAATATATAATAATTAGTATCTTATAAATGATAGCTGTAATATATAATATATTAATAATTATATAAATATATTGGCAAGGGTTATATAATTGTAATTATATAATTGGTATATTAATATGTAATTATAATTAATATATTGCTAATTATATAATGATATATAAAATAATTTGTATATTGTTAATTATATAATGATTGATATATTAATTCATGAATAATATAGATTATTTATAAGGCATCTGCTCCTGTGACCCAAACACCTCGCGTTAGGCCCCCACTTCCACCATTGAGAATTTCAACATGAGGTTTGGGGATAAATATCCAAACTATAGCAGTCATATTAATATGAAGACCCAGATCTGCTTCCAGGGGCTGACTCATAAACATGCATGCAGGCCTCAATGGCGATCTGAGCATATTGCCATGAGCAGGCAGAAGGTGGAGGAACAAGTCTGGGGAGTCAGCCTGGTCCTCACAAGGGCCAGGATATGTGAACAGGCTTCCTGAGCGAGCAGAGGCCTCCAAGAGGAGAACTGGAGCAAGAGCAGAGGGAAGGTTAAACTCAGGAAAGAGCACGAGTGGGAGTGGTGAGAGGTTTGGGGTTTGGAGCTGGAGAGGAAACCAGAAAGGAAGGGTGGGATGTGGGGTGAAGGCCTTGAATGCCGTGGTCAATCTGGACATGACTGGATTGATTGCTATGCCATTGCCAGGTCCCTAAAACAAAATGGACATGATCATTTCTGCACCCTTTGTACCCTCAGAAAATTGGAACTACATTCTTAATGCCATTTGCACTTTTTGGAGAGAAATCTAAGCTGGCCATAGTGGCTCATATCTGTAATCCCAGCACTTTGAGAGGTCCAGGCAGGAGGATTTCTCGAGCCTGGGAGTTCAAGACCAGCCTGGGCCACAAAACAAGACTTTGCCTCTACAAATAAATGTAAACATTAACTGGGCATGGACATGGTGGCATCTGCATGTAGTTCCAGCTACTAGGGAGGCTAAAGCAGGAGGATCACTTGAGCCCAGGAGGTGGAGGCTATAGTTGATTGCACGACTACACTCCAGCCTGAGTGACAGAACAGATCCTGTCTCTTAAAAAAAAAATTTAAAAGAGAGACCTAAATTTTAACTGTTTGCTAAAAATGTGTAAATGCAGACAAAAGGATGCATGGCTTCTGGCTTCTCAAATATAAACGAATTCGTGAGTTAAAGTAATTGAGAGAGGACCCAACTCTTAGGATGCAATTGAAGAGCCCTCGCCCACTGTGCACGACTCCACACACGTATACAGAGATGCACAGTGTGAGGAGATGGGTTTGAATCCACACAGTGCCACGGACTCCAATTCTCATGCAGATGAAGCCCAGAGATAGTCGGAGTTAGCTGGCCAGCATCCCAGCCAGCTCCCACTGTCAGCACGGCCCAGCCTGCAGCTGGCCTCTGTGGTATTTAAGGCAGCCAAGACCACCTCCAGGAAGGATGCTTCTATGGCAAGAAAGAAGAGTGGTCCTTCCCCCACACGCCTCTGGCCAGAGCCCAGACTGTCTCCCCTTCTCTCTTGTTCCTTTCAGAAGGCAGGGATATAGATGCTGAGCTGCCCAGTTAAAAAAATGAGTGAGCCAGGTACATTAGCTCACGCCTATAATCCCAGCACTTTGGGAGGCTAAGGCAGGTGGATCACTTGAGCCAGGAGTTTGAGACCAGCCTGGGCAACATAGCGAGCCCCGCTTCTCTATAAAAAAATTATCCAGACATGGTGGCTCCTGCCTGTAATCCCAGCTACTTGGGAGGCTGAGGCACGAGAATCACTTGAGTATGGGAGGCTGAGGTTGCAGTGAACCGAGATCACACCACTGCACTCCAGCCTAGGTGCCAGAGACAGAAACACAAAGAAAGACTTGAGGTATTAGGAACAGTGACCTACCACGCACCTCTCCTGCTTCACCCTTTCACTTCTGCTTTGGAAGAGCACCTGATCAGGAGTCAGGAGACCTGGGTTTCACTTATTAGCGGCCACATGGCCTTAGGCACATCCCCTAACCTTTCTGGGACTCAGTTTTCCTACCTGAGGTATGGGAATAATGCTTGCCCACCCTGCCACAGAAAATGATCGTAAACGAAGCATGTGGCGTGCTCGGCATAGTACAGCAAGCTGCTGTTACTGTGCACATCAACAGCAGTCTCTTTTCTAACTAGGCACCAAGCACGAGGGGACAAGCGGTGGACAGGACACAAGAAACAATTAAACTTTCAAATACACGCATGTGCGGTAAAGGCAAAATGTAGGTGATTGAGGGGAAGCTTCTCTAGATGGAATATTCACAGGCCTCTCTGAGTGTAACATTTAACCTCAGGCCCAAATGGTGGGAGGGCGCCAGCCACAGGAAGAGTGAAGAACAGGCATTCCAGGCAGAGGTCACAGCCCACGCACAGCCCCTGCAGAAGGAAAAGAGTCGAAGTCAACCAAGGACCGGAGAGAAGGCCCACGTGGCAGGGGCAGACTTGAGGAAGGTAATTGGCTGTTTCCGCTGCGGTCCGACCTCACAGGAGAGGACAAATCCCAGAAATAGGAAAGGAGGTAGAGAGAAATGCGGCGGCTTTCTGACGTTCCTCGCAAATGCTGTTTCCTTTGGGTTCCACTCACCGTGGGGAAGAGCGGAAAGAGAGGTGAGAGGCCTGGGTCCAGGCAGGGAGTACCCAGTTGAGCACCACAGAAAGGAGTTATGATTTATTCCCAGTGCCATGGGCAGCCACTGGGAGTGCCATGCTTTGATTTAGATGTTACGAAGATCCCTCTAGCCCTTGTGAAGAGAATGAATTGACCCCAAAGGCAAAGCTTGCAAGGGCACAAGTAGGGTACCGGTCAAGAGGTTACAGTGTGGCCAGGAGAGAAACAATGGTGGCTTAGGCTAGGGTGGTGGCCGGGGAGGTAGGGAGAAGAGAACAGCTTTGAGATGCATTTTTATTATTTTATTTATTTATTTTTATTTATTTTTTTCTGAGATGGCATTTCTCTCTTGTTGTCCAGGCTAGAGTGGCATGATCTCAGCTCACTGCAACCTCTGCCTCCCAGTTTCAAGTGATTCTCCTGCCTCAGCCTCTCAAGTATCTGGGTTACAGGCATGTGCCACCATGCCCAGCTGAATTTTTTTTTTTTTTCTTTTGGAGATCGGGTCTTGCTCTGTCGCCCAGGCTGGAGTGCGGTGGTGCAATCTTAGCTCACTGCAACCTCTGCCTCCCGGGTTCAAGCGATTCCCTGCCTCAGCCTCCTGCGTAGCTGGGATTACAGGCACCTGCCACCACACCTG